GCGAGCTGGGACAACGTCTAACCCGATGCGTGTTGTCGATGACATAGCTCAGCATGGTGAAGGTGACGTTCGGGCCCATCGCCGAAACGTTCTTCTAACGCCTGGACCAGCAAGGTGTACGAACCACGGGATTCTGGCGGCATGTGGTGGAGCACTTGCAACGCTGGACCGCTGAGGTTGACTGCAAGTACTCGTGCCTGCTGCTCTTCGGTCCAGCGATTGGCTTTAGCGATAATCTCGCACTGTTTTACGTAGGCAGACCATGTGCCTGTGCCGTCAAACTGCGACGGCCGCCGCTTAAGGCGTGGAGTAGATACAGGTATAGTCGACGCGACATTTGTCGTCACTGATATTGGCGGAAGATAACTCGGATTTGCCTGTGAAAGTCCTGGCTGGACCAGCGTTTGCAGGCCATCAAGAAATGCGACCGATAATCGTTCGACTAAATTCGACAGTACCTCCAAAGGGCCGCGCCTCTGTGCCTGAGCTCCTGGGCAGTCCATTGGTGGTGGGCATCCAGCAGGGCTTCAATGGCCGATGAAGTGCCAGTTCGAATGTTAGGGTCAATGGAGTCGGGAACCGGCCGGGGCGCGATGACTTCTCCGGTTCGCGGGATCTCATCCTCAGGCTGTCGAGGAAGGTCCATGCGTGCCGGCAGAAGGCGTCTTGACTGAAGATCCCACTTCTGACACCAGTGTAACGCTTTGGTTTAAGCGCGTCCTTTGCCCCAATCTATTCCCTGCTTGTCCCCGACGTGACGTCTTCCTCTTCCTACAACCATCACAATAAGTTAATTAACGTTTGATAACATTCTTCACCGATTGATTGACTATGTCTTTTAATTATTGCATAGTTAAAACGATAGCTACAGGCTTGTGAGCCTCTAACGAAATCGCTTTGCCAACCCTGCAGCGTGGAACAAAGCCAGTATCAAAGTACAAATTTTGCGCAGCTATGGGCACTCTCGATCGGGTCGATGAGCCAGCTGGGCTCCGCTTCTGCGCGAATCGGGCACTGCTAGCACCAGAGGCACGTTTGCTGGCATTTGTGTCAGCGGGAGCACGCGCTGAGCGCTGAACGTGCGCGGGCGAGCAGCAGAAAGGAAGAAATTAAGAGCAGACGAGGAACGTCACTGCCAGGAGCCTGTGTTCTCGCCCCACCGTAAAGCCCCTCGATCTTACGTGTCATACAAGTAGCGTCAAATGCGCGAGCGCACAAAGCCCATGTCTCGAGCGGCCCATGGAAGCAAATGGCGGTGCAGCACTGAATGAGCGGCCCTTGGAAGCGATTGGCGGCGGAGCACGCGCTCGCGGCACGTGTCTCGCGCGTTTCCACCACAATGGTTGGCGGAACTTGTAAAAAAGGCCTTTATCAAGGGGCTTTAGGCCCCACGGATGAGTGCCGCCATTTATACTCTGTTTCACATTACGATGTACCGCAGCAAAGGCTACAAACGCGAGCTCCTTGTTTTAGGGTATGTCTCGACGGCACAAGCTCCCGTACGTTAAGAGCAGCTCCCAACGTTATGAGCTCGCAGTTCTAGCCTTCTGCGCGGTACAGCATAAGGTGAAACGGAGTATAGTGGTTGAACTAATGGCTTGTTCAAGATGGCCGCCGTGGGACTTAAATTTTCGCAAATCCTTTTAAAGGGGCGGTGCAACGATATTCAACTGGAATGTTTTTCACTTCACACGAACTTACTGGCACTAGTGGGACTCAAGGATACTCGCACCCAACGCCGCTGGCCAAGAAACTCCCTTGTTACGGTGTAATTTCAAGGACAAAAGCGATCATTTTCATTCAATCTCTCCTTTGCTAAATTTGATGACGTAACGTGGGGATCGCAGTACACCCCAATGACGATATTTGAATGTGGTTCATAGATTGGACCCGAGCACTGCGTGAGCACTCGATTTAGGCCCGTGATAATGACTAGCTCGTGTCCCGTCGCTGCAACGACGACAGTAGCCGAGTAATAACAATGTCTGGAACTCAGCGCGTGTCCTGTACTTTGCCAACCCCAGCGCGCGGCTATGATCAACATTGGCGGCATATAATCGGCTCCAGGTCACGTGGCCGCTTGTTCTCGCTGCGAGTTGAGGGGGTGAACGCTGCTCGTTTTTCTTTACTTTTTTTCTGGGGCTCCTATTGCGTGGGGTAAAAAAACGAGCGCTTGTTTCATAGGTCATTAACGTCAGGGATCCGTTCTAAGCGGTATTTGCGCAAAGAACAAAAATTGTTGCATCGCCCCTTTAATTAGTTTGGACTATTACAGCCATTGCCGTTAATGTCGGAATATACCATTTTCTAAATCCGCAAAACGCCCCAGCCCGCACTCGGGGAATCATGGGAACGCTGCTCCTTCCGCTCCTGGTGAACGGTAATTTCGGCCAATTTCATGCTTACACAGTTGTGAGTGTAACTCAGAGTCACCCTGAATAAGCGCCGTGCACAGCCAAAGGACCTCTCATATCACTTCTGAAATTTCTCGTCAATGTCAGCGTTTTTGATAGCGTGCATGTGATCCACCTTTCAGCCTTGCTCAACTGCAGAAATCTCTCGATCAAAATTTGCCAAGAGTAATCATGATGTCATTTGAGGCGAATCAAACTAAATTGTTCGCATTAAATACAAGAAAGAATAAAACTTGAAGGGCGGACAAAACAACACACTTGTCCGACCTCCATGTTTTATACCTTCTTTGTTTTAGCTTTAAAAGCGTTCAACTATAGAGGTTATACTTGTTAGTGAGCGCGTTGGTAATGATGTAGGTTTAGAAAGAGTTATTTATATACGTAAAGATAGGGGACGGGACAACAGATCCTTCAACCTTCAACAAAAGTTTAAAGTTGAACGATGTGTTGTCCCGTCGGGTGTAGCCCGAAACAACCCATTACCGTTTCAACCCGTCCCATTTCGACCCATTCCGGAATCGACCTTCCCGTTTGAACCCTTCCCGTTTCGTCCCATTCCCGAAACGCCCTTCTCATTTGGACCCGTCCTGTTTCGTCCCATTCCCGAAACGCCCCTCTCACTTGAACCCGTCCTGTTTCAACTGATACCCTAAAGACCCTTTGCGTTTGAACCCGTCCATTTTCAAGCCATTTCTATAAAACCCTGCGCATGCCAACCTCTTCGCGAAAGGCTAATCGTTCAAATCCTGGTCAGCGCACCTTTTCGGCTTAAGAATACATGTTCTGAAATATTTCTGGATGCCGATGTGTTTTTAAAATATGCACCTTTCAGGTAAGCTTCGATGTAATATATTATTCTTACTTCAACCACTTTTTTTTTTTTTTTTTTTTATTTCAAGATGATCCCCATAACGTGCAACCGCGAAATGGTCTAAGTACACTCGGCGACACCGTTGCTACAAAAACGACCTTGTCGATTCTTTTAGAATTTTACTTCGGAAGGATATTAGCAGGTACCAAATCTTAGGGCTTAGGGTAGTGGCTCAGATAAGCACTTCCAAAGAGAGCAATAGTGTTTATGGAAGCTTTTTTAATTATATGAGATAAACAGCAACGCCGCCGATCGCTTGTTCGCGGTAACATTTTCACGCTATGCACAATAATGAAGTCTTACGTACACAATCACTTTGGGTAAGCTAAAATTAGCGTCGCCGTCGCGACGCTATTTTCAGGTTACCCAGAGCGCTTGCGTACTTTATCCTAAAACCAGTGTGTCGAACCGAAAAAAATACGGGTTCGGTTACGGTTCAGGTTCAGGTAAATTTATTTTGTTCCGGTTCAGTTCCGGTTCGATTAATTCGATCCGCGAACCGGTTCGGGGCGCTGAACCGGTTCGTGAACCGGTTCGGAAATTATAAATGACAAATTGCAACATCAAAATAAATTACAAATAAAACATCTGAAATCAGCACATACGAAACGGGATACATCGTAGTGTAAGGCTCAGGGATTTCTACCAGGAATGGTTTCTTTATGTGCACTCCATGGTTACCTTACCGACGTTTACGCATTCGGACTTCACCTAATTGGGTCCGACGCAGTAGCTGTAAAATCCGCGACCTCCTTACAAACCCACTTACAAGTAGAACTCGCTAACTATGCCGCCACCTCGGCGTGTAAGCAATTGAAGGAACAGTGGGGAGAAAATACAGCTTTCTTTATTTGAACTAGCCTTCGGTAACTCAAATTAGACGCTTAAAGAAGTTTTCATTAAACAAGATACGGAATATGAAAAACACTTTACCGAACGCAACGCCAGAAGGACGTAATAGGATAAATATTAAAATAGAAGAGTGGCCGTCAGTTGACGGCACTTAAAAAACAAATGGCATTGATAGCACATTCATTGTCAACAGCGCGTGGCCGAACCGTTTTGACATGAGCCGGTAGTAGCCGTTATTTTTTTTCCGGTTCAGTTCCGGTTCGGGTTCATCGCGATAACAATATAACGGTTCGGGTTCGGGTTCAGTTCCGGAAAAAATACCGGTTCGGTTCCGGTTTTCGGTTCGGTTTGGTTCCGGTTCGACACCCTGCCTAAAACCTTATATTTTTTATCGTGATATTTTGCAGAGCGAGAAATCAGACAGGGGGACAGGCATAGGATCGCGACTTTATTTGCTTTTACACTTTTAAACATTGAACACTCGCGCACACAGAAAAACATCACAGACCGGAAAATGCCTTCGCTTTGTTGAGAAACTCAAAGATGGAAATCGTGCCATTAGAAAGGCGACACTCGATCTCAGAAAGTTTGCGGTCCTTGCTGACCCACTTGTGCCCCCTGGCCCGCACAGCAGCACCATTCGCAAGCTGCTGCAAGGATATCCTAGTCAAAGCCTCATCCCGTTTAATTAAATTGATAAAACTGTAAATGTTCGGGAGGCCCTCCCTGACACCGCGTTTATTTTACGGTGCCAGGACTCCATGTGGTTGTTTGTCCGTGGCCCTCGGTTTCCGTGGTGATTCCATTGCTGAATCGAAAAATGACCATTCATCCAGGTGCCATCAAAATAGTCAAGCACAGTGATGACGCCTGAGACACCGAGGGATGTGCCTTCTTGTCGCAAAAACAGCCATGCACGCTGGACGTCAGAAACTGGAACGAACGACAGCGCCACCATCTTTCTAATAAGGGACCTAATAGTGTCATCCTGCCCGTACGCAGTTTGGAGGCCGGCTCTTTGTACTGCAGCCCACACTCTTTTTGTGAAATGGAAATGGCACCCACGATGGATTGCGGTTGGGAATAAAGTCAACAAGCCTGCGATGAGCGCCTGCTTGAAGTCTGTTAGAAAAGTGCCCGCACCTGCGAATATATTCCTCAAGTTTTGAAATGCTCGAACATACGTCTCACGAGATCTACCAGACAACAGAAAGTACACTGCGGGTGAGTGTTTGCCATCCGACATGACATGAATGGTCAGGAGTTGATCAAAAATCTGAGGCACAACAAAAAATGTACCATCAACAAAGAGCATCTTCGCGGATGACAAGCGCAGCAAACTCTCCCGTGATGCAAAGGCTAAGATACGAGAACCACCGACACTAGTGTCATCGATTACAAGGGGGGGATGGCCGTCTTCTGTCTGTTGGTACAACGGGCTCAGCTGAATGTCGTCCGCAGTTGCAGGAAGTTCCGGCTGATGACAGCGTCGCTCCCTGTACATGGCGTTCTTCAGGCTTGCGAAAGTTGGGATTTCAGCTACAACATCGGCCGCGCTCTAAAAATAAATACAGTTCCGACTTTAGCCAACAAACTTGATTACAGATGAAAACATACAGTCCCCTTTTCTTTTCCTTTTAGCTGCACCAAATTTTCAAAGAAACAGAAGGTGAGATAGGGTAGTTTGAGCCCTTGGGCCAAGTTGGCGGCCATTGTGGCCGCTTGAACTAAGGCGCAATGGTGAAATTAGGTAGTTACTTAACTAAAAAGGTGTAGGTAACTTTAGCATCTTAGGGCTAGGGGCATAGGGTATATAAAAGATTGAATCTCGACCTCAATGTGGCTTAGCCGCACCGTGAAATTTTGATTAAAAACGTATTAGTGGGCATTACGGGGCGAGAAAGTTTACCCTTGAACAAGGCTGACATATCTTGCCCCATAGCGCCCACTGTGAATTTTAATTCAAAATGGTACTTCACATCTATAGTCCGTTGCAACCTAAGAACGAAGGGCGAGGGTAAGACGGGCCGGAGAGGAGGAAGCGGACGGAACGCTGGAGAAGAGAGGCGGAAACTTCCTTCTCTAGCGTTCCGTCTGCTTCCTCCTCCCCGGCCCGTCTTACCCTCGCCCCTCGTTCTGGCGCGCCGCTGCGCGGCAGGTACCGAAGGTAGGCAGTGAGAACCCCAGAGAAAACGAAACCGAAACCACGCCGCGTACGTTGGTACGCTTTGAAGTCGGAGTGGTGCGGTTGCGCTGGGTTCACAGCCTGGAGTGCTGCCTGTGGTGCGTCATTAAGTGCTTCAATAGTTATGCGTCGTATTTCGTGCAGACAAAGTTTCACAGTTTTTCACCTCGCCGATGTTTTGTGGACAGCGACAACGATGGAGCCGTGCCGTACGACGCGAGAAATTTGGGCTCCCGATCATGTCTGCCGCTGTGTCGGCTATGCTGACATATTCTACACTGCCGCTTTGCGCTCTGCGTTTGTTTCTGTACCAGTAACACCTACATGTGTCAGCGCCGATGGGACGAACTGAAATGCCATCCCATACTCGCGGGTATGCAGTGCCAATTTCGTTGGAGGAATGCCCTCCAAAGAAGTTTCGTCCCCATCGTACGTGTCGATCATATTTCCGGACAAGTATGGCACGCAATCTGTACTTCATGAAGAAAGATTCGAACGGTAAAAAGCGACAAATATATATAAATCTAAAGAAAACAACAATGAAACTCGGAATCACTGGAGAATCGACGTTTGAGTATGGAGGTTTATGTGGTGTGCTTTCTTTCTTGATCAGCCTCCTTTTGGATATGGAAACGCTGACACCCCGAGTTCTGTAGACAACAATTTTTTTTCTCGGCTTTAGAGCCACCAATCGCAAAGTGGTTCGAACTGCAAGTACCGTCCACTGGTCCCTTCCTACCTGTAAATTGTGCATCTCCCACGATGAGTGGTATTATCTGACAGCCTTTGACGGTCAAAGCCAGTTCCCATTAAGTTACGCCGCCCAAACTAAATTTCCACCTGGTTTCGCTATGCCAACTCTTTTTTGTTATAATAAGTGTTGTGCCAAGTGACGGTCATGTCAAAGTACCTGTGCGCCGAAAATTAGCACCTCGCACAACAATTTATTACACAACAGCTGACTGCAAAAGCCCTTGGCGGCCAAACCGTGTGTTGGCCGACAACTTTGTTTCCTCGGCTTTGGAACCACCTTTCGTAAAGTTGTTTCAATTGGAAGTACTGTGCACTAGCCCCTTCCTACCTCTAAAGTCTCCAGCTCCCCCGACCAGTGGTATTCTCTTGACAGCCTTTTCATGGTCAAAACCGGTTCCATTGAGTTACGCCGCCCAAACCAAATTTTCACCTGGTTTCCCTATGCCACCTTTTTTTTTTTTTTTGTATAATAAGTGCTGTGTCATGTTACTGTCAAGTCCGAGCATCTGTGAGTCCAAATCTGCACTTCGCACAGCCCGGTTATAACACAACATTTTTGGGTCCAATATTGTTATGTTATGTTTCTAACGAATAAAGAAATAAAGCTGTACGGGGTGTACAGCTTTATTTCTTTATTCGTTAGAAACATAACTTTCACACCTGCTGTTTTAAAGAAACTTAGCACTCTTCGTGCACAAACTTAGTGAACATCTCACTCGCCTCCAAATATCATCGTTCCAGCAGTCCTAGGTTTACAGCGACGAGCGAAATAAATTTCCCACTCAGAGCAGTTATGGTGGCGGCCGTCTTGTTTTTTGGAAAATTGCTCCAACTCCTTTTTACCCCTAATAACGACTCAAACTCAATATATAAGAAGTGGAGAACAGCTAAATGCCCTTCTGCCCCAGCGCTCTTGCAACGTCACCCTCAACTTGTTGGCTCAAAAAGCAAAAGTTTCGTCCGTGCGCGCTTCCGCCGCTACAGCTTGGCATGCGAAAAGGCGCCGCAGGCTGCTGAATGCGCCTCGCAGTCGAACGCCAGCTCCTCCGCTAGCGGCGCTGCGCGCATTTTTCAAAGCGCCCCCTATAGTTCCCGCACGGAGTGTATAGACCATATTGAGGACGAGCTTCAATTATCCAAATGCATTACGCGCCCTCGAGTGCAAAATAATTAAAACGTTTTAGTTAATTAGCTAGCTAATGACCTAATTTCGCATTTTTCTAGTGGCCACCAAGGCCATTATCACTGCCCCAGGACTCAAATTACTACATCTCACGTTTACTTCTTTTTTTTAATATAGTCCAGCTAAAAAAAAAAAAAAAAAAACCTTTATGATTGCACTTTCACAAAATAGACACTTACAGCTTGAGATGCGCGAAGAAGTTCCTGGTTGTAGAGCGTCGGAGCTGCGACGTGGGGATTAGAGGCCACTTTTTCTTTTAGTTCCATTCTGATCCGGTCTTTGACAACGGCTGTTTCATCGGGAGGGTGATTGTGGTCTCCTAAAAACAATGAAATGTTAATTTCGCACTTCAAATTCACGTTAACCTTCATATTTAGATAAACTTTCTACTCACAAAGGGTGTTCTTGACATGATCTCCTTCCGTCAAGATTGATGCGGGGCAGCAGGATGAACCATGGTTGGCACACCGCCACGCAACAGTTCCGTTCGCATTCGAACGTTTCTTGTGGTACTTAAATCCATCCAAGTGTAAACACTGCTTCTTTTTCTGGGTTTGTAAGATGACAACCCATCATGGCCGGGGACACTGACGCTGGCTAGATGGCGCCACAGTATTGAAAATGGCCCCTTTCACGATATAACGGTCTATAGGACAATATTAAGACGTCCATGCTGCCAATATAGGCTAGGAGAGGGCAACCATATAGGGCAAGATTGCGGAAAGTGGTGTAGCCCCCAATGTTGGCTAGAAAAACTGTACCAATACTAGCCAACATTGGCGAAGTTCGTGCGGCTAATACTGGCACTAAAACTCGTACCAATACCGGGTGAAACAAGGAGACGGTAGGCTCTTTTAATCGACCGGAAAATTAATTTTCTTAACCTATCGCGCTACGACTTTGTGCAGCGTTGCCCACACATGGTGCATTTTTTTCGTAAAATTTGCAAAGAGCGGACTTACCTGAGGAAAAAGTAAAGAAAGAAAAAGGCTTAGCTCCTATGGAAACGCAGCGACGCCACCGGTCTGCAATCAACACGGCGCCGTTTTGCACGGTAGACAAGAGATGGCGCAAGCGGTCGCGACGCCAACTGCCGCCAACGAACGAGCAGACGACGCCGAGAGCCGGCGTAATTAGCAGACAAGGAACTGCACTTCCTTGCTGTTACCGCGCCTGTCTTTTTTGTTTCTGCGACTGTCGCCGCTTGCGGAACGCGCGCCGCTTTTGAGTCGAAAAGATCGTCTGCTAAAGACGCTGGCTCTCGGCGCCGTATGCTCGTTCATTGGCGGCGTTCGTTGCGCCATCTCTTGTCTCCCGTGCAAAACGGCGCCGTGTTGATTGCAGACCGGTGGCGTCGCTGCGTTTCCATAGGAGCAATAGGGAGGCTGTAGTGAGGGTGGGCGCAACTCAAAACCTGGAAAGCGTTTGCAATTTAATGGCGGCGCCAGAGGGAGAGGATTCGAGAAAGGATATGCGCCAGTGTTGTCTGCACGAGAGCAGGCGCCCGCTCTGTTGCAACTCTGTTGCTCCATGCGCCTTTCCCCCTCTCGCCTCCCATTGCAAGCAACGAGCGCCTTGGCGCAGCCTCTCTCGCTTCCTTCTCGCTCCGAGAGTTGCAAACGTCGAGCGGAGAAAGCAAAGATGCCATACAAGCAGCAACGTCCAAGATGGCGGAATTTACCATTTTTCGCGTTAAAAAAATACTTAACCTATCGCAACAAAACTGGTGGCTATGGAAACGTAATCATTTATACCTTGTGTAAATTATTCAAGCACCTTAATGGGCTTTTATGACCCGAGTTAGGAAAGAAAACGACCCTTTGCCCCATAGACTCCCAGAAAAATTTAGCAATTAAATGGCGTCCACGTCCCGTGATCGCCGATCTAGCAGTTGCACCGACCCTCACTTGAGCCTCCCTAAGGAGCAAAGCCTTTTTCTTTCTTTACTTTTTCCTCGGGTAAGTTCGCTCTTTGCAAATTTTACAAAAAAAAATGCACCATCTGTGGGCAACGCTGCACAAAGTCGTAGCGCGATAGGTTAAGAAACCGAATTTTCCGGTCGATTTAAAGAGCCTACCGTCTCCTTGTTTCACCCGGTAGTGACCAA